GAGAGAGAGAGAGAGAGAAAGTGTGAGAGAGAGAGAGAGAGAGAGCTGTGAATGAGCCGCTGTTCTTACATGTGTTTGTGTGTAAATGTGTGTCACTGGTGTGTAATGCTGCATTGTGTGAAGTGTTACCAGTCACTCCCTGTTTCACATACACTGTGTGTGAGTGTGTGTGTGTGTGAGTATGTGTGTGTGTCTGTGAGTGTGTGTGTGTCTGTGTGTGTATGTGAGTGTCTGTCTGTGTGTGTATGTGAGTGTGTGTATGTCTGTGTGTGTATGTGAGTGTCTGTCTGTGTGTGTGTGTATGTGAGTGTGTGTGTGTCTGTGTGTGTATGTGAGTGTGTCTGTGTGTGTATGTGAGTGTGTGTGTATGTGAGTGTGTGTATGTGTGTGTATGTGAGTATGTGTGTGTGTCTGTGAGTGTGTGTGTGTCTGTGTATGTCTGTGTGTGTATGTGAGTGTGTGGGGTGTGTGTGTGTGTATGTGAGTGTCTGTCTGTGTGTGAGAGAGGGAGGGAGGGAGGGAGAGAGAGAGAGAGAGAGAGAAAGTGTGAGAGAGAGAGAGAGAGAGAGAGAGAGCTGTGAATGAGCCGCTGTTCTTACATGTGTTTGTGTGTAAATGTGTGTCACTGGTGTGTAATGCTGCATTGTGTGAAGTGTTACCAGTCACTCCCTGTTTCACATACACTGTGTGTGAGTGTGTGTGTGTGTGAGTATGTGTGTGTGTCTGTGAGTGTGTGTGTGTCTGTGTATGTCTGTGTGTGTATGTGAGTGTGTCTGTGTGTGTATGTGTGTGTGAGTGTGTGTGTCTGTGAGTGTCTGTGTCTGTCTGTATGTATCTGTGAGTGTGTGTGTATGTCTGTGTGTGTATGTGTGTGTGTATGTGAGTGTGTGTATGTGAGTGTATGTGTATGTGTGTGTGTGTGTGTGTGTCTGTGTGTATGTGAGTGTGTGTGTGTGTGTCTGTGTGTGAGAAACTCAACGACTCTCTGATGATTTGAGCACCAGATTGTGTCTCTGTTATCAGACACATGAACACTGAAGAGTGCTCTGGGATTCAGGAGAAGTTATTTCTGCTTCACAATCTAGTCTCCTAATGAACCTGCCGAGAATCGCAATTCAATCTGATTGTGTGTGTCTGTGAGTGTGTGTGTGTCTGTGTATGTCTGTGTGTGTATGTGAGTGTGTCTGTGTGTGTATGTGTGTGTGAGTGTGTGTGTCTGTGAGTGTCTGTGTCTGTCTGTATGTATCTGTGAGTGTGTGTGTATGTCTGTGTGTGTATGTGTGTGTGTATGTGAGTGTGTGTATGTGAGTGTATGTGTATGTGTGTGTGTGTGTGTGTGTCTGTGAGTGTGTGTGTGTGTGTGTGAGAAACTCAACGACTCTCTGATGATTTGAGCATCAGATTGTGTCTCTGTTATCAGACACATGAACACTGAAGAGTGCTCTGGGATTCAGGAGAAGTTATTTCTGCTTCACAATCTAGTCTCCTAATGAACCTGCCGAGAATCGCAATTCAATCTGATTTGAACAGACATTCAGAACAGAAGAATCTGATCTAAAGTTGTAAATATAACATTACTGGAGTAAATACTATTTCAGTCTTTCAACTTCAACATTTCACATTTAATTCAATGCGGGATCCCATCGAAGAACAAACTGTTTGTGGTTCAGCTTTCAGTGATCCGTTCTTAAAAGAAACATTTCTCAGTGTGCAGAACATTTTGTCCAATGGACAGATTCAATGGATGTTAAAGGTTCTTCATGGAAGCATCAAAGCCAGTAATCAGACTGAAGCCGGACGAGTGTGAACATGATCTTCTTGAAGTGTCAGAGATGACGGACACACACCTGTGAGCCTGTAAACATCACTTCTGTTTCACTGAGCTCCGTCACAGAAGACCCCTGCTGTGTCCTGCAGCTCGTCCAGATCACTAAACAAGCTCATCCTGATCTCAGATGACCTGAAGGTGAACACATGTTTGTTTCTGGTGAATTATTCTGTGCAGAGTTTCTGTTCTTGTCTTCATTTGTTTCTGTTGTTTATGTGGAACATCTCACATCTGCCGATGACATGTAGATACTCGCGAGGCTCGTATATCAGAGTGTGTGTAATGAGACCAGTGACACACATTAACCCTGAATAAAGACACACACACACAATAGGGGCCCCCAGAGGTCGCCACGGAGATGCCTGTGAATGCCACACCCACTCTCGGGGCCCCGATGACATCAGCTCTGGCTCCTGTCTGGCTCCAGTGAAGATGCTGCCTCACTCGTGACATCACTGGTCACGTGACACCAGTGCTGGTTAGTGAGCACACATGTCTGGCGCTTCACAAGAGCAAATACACAGGATCTGCAGGTTAAATCTCGTGTGTGTGTGCTCATCACAGGTCATTAGAGTCACTCTCTCACTCAGTACTGCTGACACACGACCACACACCTCAATGTGTTTATTGTCTGTGAGTGATGATCTCCGCTCAACTTCTGACCTCTGCCTGCCTGTGTTTGACTGTGCTGCGCACACACACACACACACTTCATGAAGAACTGAGATTACACATTAACTCGTATACAGTTCACTAGGACTCTGAACATTTAAATGATTGTTACATTACAAACACAAGACACACACATCATGATCAGAGTGTGAGTGTGTGTGTTGTGTTATTGTGACCTCTAGTGGCTGTAAAGATTATGACACAAACTGATTCAACTCTGACCCCTGCTGGCCACTGTGCTTATACACCAAGTGTTACACACACACACACACACACACACACACACACACCTTGAGATGATGATGATCTCCGCTCAACTTCTGACCTCTGCCTGCCTGTGTTTGACTGTGCTGCGCACACACACACACACACTTCATGAAGAACTGAGATTACACATTAACTCGTATACAGTTCACTAGGACTCTGAACATTTAAATGATTGTTACATTACAAACACAAGACACACACATCATGATCAGAGTGTGAGTGTGTGTGTTGTGTTATTGTGACCTCTAGTGGCTGTAAAGATTATGACACAAACTGATTCAACTCTGACCCCTGCTGGCCACTGTGCTTATACACCAAGTGTTACACACACACACACACACACACACACACACACACACACACCTTGAGATGATGAATATTCTCAGATCCACCTGTAAAGACACAGAGACACACAAGAGCCTGAGGAATTATTAAAACAGTTTAATGAATCATCATCTCAGTATTGTAGCTAGTTTACAACAGGAAATATATTTATTAATCCATTTATTTCACATTATACAGAGCGGCCGTCGCTTGCGTCTGTAAGTGTGTGAAGATGAGTCTGAAATGACAAAGCGAACTCAAACGTCATAATCACACAAACTAAAGCAGAAACACATTTTGGTTGAATGTTGTGGACTGAGCACAGTGCATTATGGGTCGTGTGGATGTTGGCGTGAGTACAGCGTGACGTCAGTGTGTTTTGGTTCTGAGTTTTGGCTCAG